AAGCAGTGGTATCAACGCAGAGTACTGAGCGCCCGTCATCCAGGGCCGCGTCGATCCAGGCAAGCGCAGCCTCTTCCGCAGCGCTGAGCGCATCATCAAGCGTGTCGGCCGCCGAGAAGCACCCGGGCAGATCCGGAACGACGACGCCCCACGCGGTACGTTCATCGCCTGCCTCGATCAAGACTGGATAGCGCATGGGACCTCCTACGTCAGCCCTGCGAGCTTCCGCAACGCCAGCACCAGCCCCTTTCCCAGATCCTTCCTTGGATGAGGCACGGTGATGATGTGAGGGCACTGCGGGTGCACGAATACATGATGGGATCCGCGAATCCGCCGACAGGTCCAACCTGCCGCTTCCAGATCCCGGATGAGCTCCCTGCTCTTCATGCAGGGACGATACACATCGTACACACGCCCCGACAGAGTTCAAGGCGACAGCCGTTCCGCACCAGTAGATCCACGCCATGCGTGGATGGCCCCCTAGCGCGCCCCAGGCGCAAAGCGCGCCACCAGATCCCAGGCGTCGCCCAGGAACACCTGCCGCACGCGGGTGATCGGCTGTTCACCGCGCCAGGTCAGGCGCTCGATCACCAGGCAGGCGGTGCCGGGCTTCACGTCCAGCAGCTTGGCCGTGGCGCTGTCCGCGCCCCAGGCACTGATGCGGTGCTGGGCCCGGGTCCATGACACGTTCTGCAGCAGCCAGCTGCCCGGTGCGGTGGTGTTGAAATCGACCTCCAGCACCTCGGGCACGCCCACCGGACTGATCAAGCGGTGTTCCAGCGCCAGCGGGCGACCATCGGCCAGGTGCAGGCAGCGCATCGCCAGCAGCTTCTGCTGCCCGGCCAGCTCCACTTCACCGGCATTGCCGGCGTCGGCCAGGCGCAGTTCACGTCGCAGCAGGCGGTAGCCATACTGATGGCCGCGCGAGCCGACCTCCATCGCGATATCGGGGATCTCCAGCGCCACCTGCTCCAGGTGCGGCGGCTGCCGCGCCACGAACGAGCCGGCGCGACGGCGGCGCTCGATCATGCCGCTCTCGGCCAGTGCGGTCAGCACCTTGTTCACCGTCATCCGCGAGCAACCGTACTGCTCCATCAGCTCGTGCTCGTACGGAATACGGAAGCCCGGCGCCCACTCTCCGCTGAGGATGCGGCTTTCCAGATCGCTGCGGATACGCTGGTTGAGCGTGGCGGACTTGCTGGCCTTCACGTAATGGGGTCTCGGTGGCGGGGGCGATCAGCCCAGCACGCCCTTCAGTGCGGCGGCGAAGGCGGTGGTGATCGCCTCGCGCTGCAGGTGGCGGCCGTCGGCCACGTACTGGCGGCCATGGCGCCAGACCGATCGCAGCGCGCCATTACGTGCGGCGAACACCCAGCTGTCAAGCCATGCGTCGTCCTGTCGCGCCTGCAGCGCGGGATGCGCAGCGTCCAGTTCAACCAGGTCGGCACTGGCACCGACCTGCAGTCCGGCGGCCACGCCCAGCGCCTGCGCACCGCCGTGCAGTGCGCCCTCGAACAGGAAGCGACCGGTGCTGCGGGTGGCATCCGGGGCCAGCACATTGCGCCCCGCGCAGGGTCAGGCGCTGGCCGTACTCGAGCAGGCGCAGTTCTTCAGCCACGTCGATCAGCACATTGGAATCGGAACCGACGCCGAAGCGACCGCCTTCGCGTGCGAACGCCTGCATCGGGAACAGGCCATCGCCCAGGTTGGCCTCGGTGATCGGGCACAGGCCGGCCACGGCCTGGCTGGCCACAATGGCTGCGCGCTCGTCGTCGGTGATGTGGGTGGCATGCACCAGGCACCAGCGCGCGTCCACCGGCACATGGTTATACAGCCACTGCACCGGGCGCTGGCCGCTCCAGGCCAGGCAGGCCTCGACTTCGCGCACCTGTTCGGCGATGTGAATGTGCACCGGGCCTTCGGTGAGCGGCAACAATGCACCCAGTTCCTCGCCCGTGACTGCACGCAGACTGTGCGGCGCGATGCCGAGCACCGCATCGGGCAGCGCGTCCAATGCCGGCTTGGCGGCCTCCAACAGCTGCGCGAAGCCGTCCACATCGTGGATCAAGCGACGCTGCGCGGGATTCGGCGCCGCACCGCCAAAATCGGCATGGGCATAGAACACCGGCAACAGGGTCAGGCCGATGCCGGTCTGCTCGGCCGCCGCCGCAATCCGCGCGCTCATCTCGGCACGGTTGGCATACGGGCGGCCGTCGGCGTCGTGGTGCAGATAGTGGAATTCGCCAACGCGGGTGAAACCACTTTCCAGCATTTCCATATAGGCCTGGGCGGCGATGGCCTGCACCGCGTCCGGGCGCAGGTGGGCCAGGAAGCGGTACATCAGCTCGCGCCAGCTCCAGAAACTGTCGCCGTCACCGCCGCCGATCTCGGTCAGGCCGGCCATGCCGCGCTGGAACGCGTGGCTGTGCAGGTTGGGCAGGCCCGGCACCAGGATGCCGACCCGGGTATCGCCCGGCTGCGTACCCTGGCCCGCGCGGATGTCCGTGATGCGGCCGTCCTGCACCTGCAGCTGGACATCGCGGGCCCAGCCCCCGGCCAGCAGGGCGTGGGCGGCATGGAATCTGTGGGGGGAACGCGAATCGGACATGGCTGGACAACCCGAAATGGACGCCTATATTGTATAGACATATAAGCACAGCCGCGTTGTGGATGCCATGCACGTCGATACTCTCTGGTCCAACGTCCACCTGATCACCCTCGACGGCGACGGCCTGGGCGTCATCCGCGATGGCGTGCTGGCCTGCGCCGACGGACGCATCGTCCATGTCGGCACCGCCGGCAGCGATGCCCACCTGCAACCGACCACCCGCATCGACGGCGAAGGCCGGCGGATCTCGCCGGGACTGATCGACTGCCACACCCATCTGGTCTACGCCGGCAACCGCGCCAACGAGTTCGAGCAGCGCCTGCAGGGCGTCAGCTATGCGGAGATCGCCCGTGCCGGCGGCGGCATCGTCTCCACCGTACGCGCCACCCGCGCCGCCACGCCGGAACAGCTGGCCCGCGAAAGCCGCCCACGCCTGCTGGCGATGCGCGCCGAAGGCGTGACCACGCTCGAGATCAAATCCGGCTACGGCCTGACCCTGCCCGACGAACGCAAGCAGTTGCAGGTGGCGCGTGCGCTGGGCGAGGAATGCCGGGTCAACGTGGTGACCACCTTCCTCGGCGCACATGCCATCCCCGCCGGGCCGCGAGGCACAGGAGTACACCGACGAGGTGTGCAACGTGATGATTCCGACCATCGCCGCCGAAGGCCTGGCCGAAGCGGTGGACGTGTTCTGCGAGAACATCGCCTTCTCGCCCGCACAGGCGCGGCAGGTGTTCGAGGCGGCACGTGCCCACGGGCTGGCGGTGAAGATCCATGCCGAGCAGCTGAGCAACCAGCATGGCGCCGAACTGGCGGCCGGCTTCGGTGCACTCTCGGCCGACCATATCGAACACCTCGATGACGCCGGCATCGCGGCAATGGCCGCCGCCGGCACCGTCGCAGTGCTGCTGCCCGGCGCCTTCTATTTCACCCGCGATACCACCCTGCCGCCGATCGCGGCGCTGCGTGCGGCCGGGGTGCCGCTGGCGCTGGCCACCGACAGCAACCCGGGCACCTCGCCCCTGACCAGCCCGCTGCTGGCGATGAACATGGGCGCCACCCTGTTCCGCCTGACCGTGGACGAGTGCATCGCCGGCTTCACCCGTGAAGCGGCGCGTGCACTGGGCCATGGCAACCGTATCGGCCGACTGGCCGTGGGCATGGACTGCGACCTGGCGATCTGGGACATCGACGCCCCCGCCGACCTGGTCTATCGCATTGGATTCAACCCGCTGCACGCGCGCGTGGTGCGCGGACAGCCCGACCTGCCTGCCTCCTGGAGCAACACATGAGCAACACCCTGGTTCTTCGCCCCGGCCACGTCACTCTCGCCCAGTGGCGGCAGGTCTATCGCGGCGCGCCGCTGGCACTGGACGCGGCCGCGCTGCCGGTGGTACGTGCCAGTGCCGCAGCCGTGGCCGCCATCGTCGCCAAGGGCGCGCCGGTCTATGGCATCAACACCGGCTTCGGCAAGCTGGCCAGCGTGCGCATCGAGCGCGAGGACCTGGCCACACTGCAGCGGAACATCGTGCTCTCGCACGCGGCAGGCGTCGGCGAGCCAATGCCGGCCAGCGTGGTGCGCCTGATGATGGCGCTGAAGCTGGTCAGCCTGGCGCAGGGTGCTTCGGGCATCCGCGAGGACACCCTGCTGCTGCTGGAAGCGATGCTGGTCAAGGGCGTGCTGCCGGTGGTGCCGGCACAGGGCTCGGTGGGCGCATCAGGCGACCTGGCACCGCTCTCGCACCTGGCCAGCGTGATGCTGGGCGTGGGCGAAGCCTTCATCGGCGACGAACGCCTGCCGGCCGTCGATGCTCTGGCACGCGCCGGTCTGCAGCCGATCGAACTGGGCGCGAAGGAAGGCCTGGCGTTGCTCAACGGCACCCAGTTCTCCACCGCCTATGCGCTGGCCGGCCTGTTCGAAATCGAGACCGTGTTCCAGGCCGCGCTGGTCACCGGTGCGCTGTCGGTGGAAGCGGCCAAGGGCTCCGATACGCCGTTCGATCCGCGCATCCACGCCATCCGTGGGCAGCGCGGGCAGATCGCCACCGCTGCCACGCTGCGCACGCTGATGCAGGGCTCGGACATCCGCGAATCGCACCGTGACAACGACGTGCGCGTGCAGGACCCGTACTGCCTGCGCTGCCAGCCGCAGGTGATGGGCGCCGCACTGGACATCCTGCGCCAGGCCGCGACCACGCTGGAAATCGAAGCCAATGGCGTGTCCGACAATCCGCTGGTGTTCACCGACACCGGCGAAGCCCTTTCCGGTGGCAACTTCCACGCCGAGCCGGTCGCCTTTGCCGCCGACATGCTGGCGATGGCGGTGTGCGAGATCGGTTCGATCAGCGAGCGCCGCCTGGCCATGCTGGTCGACCCGGCGCTGTCCGGCCTGCCGGCGTTCCTGACCCCGCGCCCGGGGCTGAATTCCGGCTTCATGATTCCGCAGGTCACCGCCGCCGCGCTGGTCTCGGAAAACAAGCAGCGCGCCTACCCCGCCAGTGTTGATTCGATCCCGACCTCGGCCAACCAGGAAGACCATGTGTCGATGGCCGCGCACGGCGCGCGCCGCCTGATGCAGATGGCTGAGAACGCGGCCAACGTGATCGGCATCGAGCTGCTGGCCGCCGCGCAGGGCTGCGACTTCCACGCCCCGCTGCGCTCCAGCATCGCGCTGGAAAGCGTGCGCGCCACCCTGCGCGCACAGGTGCCGACGCTGGAAGAAGATCGCTACTTCCACCCGGACATGGTGACCGCCACGAACCTGGTGCGCAGCGGCGCGCTGGCGCAGGGCCTGAGCGATCTGTTGCCGACCGTGGAACCGCAGGCATGAATGCCCATCCCGAATGGCTGACCGTGCACGAGGGCGACGCCCCCCTCATCGTCAGCTTCCCGCATACCGGCAGCGAGCTGCCGCATGACCTGATCGGCCACTACCACTCGCCGTGGTTGGCACGCCGCGATGCCGACTGGTGGGTGCACGAGTTGTACGACTTCGTGCGTGGCATGGGCGCAACCACCGTGCGCTCGGCGATCTCACGTTCGGTGATCGATCTCAATCGTGATCCCAGCGGTGTCTCGCTGTACCCGGGCCAGAACACCACCGGCCTGTGCCCGCTGACAACCTTCGACAACCAGCCGCTGTACCACGCCGGGCGCGAACCGGATGACGCGGAAATCGCGCGCCGCCGCGATACCTATTTCCTGCCTTACCACGATGCGCTGGCCGCGCAGATCACCCGCCTGCGCGCACGCCATGGCACCGTGGTGGTGTACGACGCGCACTCGATCCGCTCGCACATTCCACACCTGTTCGACGGCGAACTGCCGCAGTTCAACCTGGGCACCGCCGGCCCCTCCGGCGCACCGGACACCTCCTGCGACAACGCGTTGAGCGATGTAGTGGAGAACCTGCTGAAAATCAGTGGCATGAGCCAGGTGCGCAACGGCCGCTTCAAGGGCGGCTGGATCACACGCCACTACAGCAACGTCGCCGGCGGCGTGCACAGCCTGCAGATGGAACTGGCCTGCCGCGGCTACATGCACGAGCCGCTGCCCGACCAGGTGGACGAACACAGTTGGCCCACCCCGCTCGACCCCGACCACGCCGCACCGCTGCGCCACACCCTGGCGCAGGTGCTCAATGCCTGCCTTGAATTCGCAACGAACCGGAGCGCCGCATGACCCGCAACGACCCGTCCCGCACCATTGCCGCGCCGACCGGCACCACGCTCAACGCCAAAAGCTGGCTGACCGAAGCGCCGCTGCGCATGCTGATGAACAACCTGCACCCGGACGTGGCCGAACGGCCGCAGGAACTGGTGGTGTACGGCGGCATCGGCCGCGCCGCGCGCGATTGGGAGAGCTTCGATGCGATCGTCGAAACGCTCAAGCGCCTGGACGACGACCAGACCCTGCTGGTGCAGTCGGGCAAGCCGGTGGGCGTGTTCCGCACCCACGCCGACGCACCGCGCGTGCTGATCGCCAATTCCAACCTGGTGCCGCGCTGGGCCAACTGGGACCACTTCAACGAGCTGGATAAGAAGGGCCTGGCCATGTACGGCCAGATGACCGCCGGCAGCTGGATCTACATCGGCGCGCAGGGCATCGTGCAGGGCACCTACGAGACCTTCGTGGAGATGGGCCGCCAGCACTTCGGTGGCGACCTGACCGGCAAGTGGCTGTTCACCGGCGGCCTGGGCGGCATGGGCGGCGCGCAGCCGCTGGCCGCGGTGATGGCCGGCGCCTCGTGCCTGGCCGTCGAGTGCCGCAAGAGCAGCATCGACATGCGCCTGCGCACCGGTTACCTGGATACCTGGACCGACAACCTAGACGAAGCGCTGCGCCTGATCGACGAATCGTGCAAGGCCGGTACGCCCAAGTCGGTAGGCCTGCTCGGCAACGTCGCCGATGTGTTGGCCGAACTGCTCAAGCGCGGCGTGAAGCCCGACCTGCTGACCGACCAGACCTCCGCGCACGACCCGGTGAACGGCTACCTGCCGCAGGGCTGGACCGTCGAGCAGTGGGACGACAAGCGCGTATCCGCTCCCAAGGAAGTGGAGAAGGCTGCACGCGCGTCGATGGCCAACCACATCCGCGCCATGCTCGGCTTCCACGCGCTGGGCGTGCCGACCGTGGACTACGGCAACAACCTGCGGCAGATGGCGCTGGAAGAAGGCGTGGAGAACGCGTTCGACTTCCCCGGTTTCGTGCCGGCCTATATCCGTCCGCTGTTCTGCCGCGGCATCGGCCCATTCCGCTGGGCGGCATTGAGCGGTGACCCGGAAGACATCGCCAAGACCGATGCCAAGGTGAAGGAACTGATTCCGGACAACCCGCACCTGCATCGCTGGCTGGACATGGCCGCCGAGAAGATCAAGTTCCAGGGCCTGCCGGCGCGCATCTGCTGGGTCGGCCTGGGCGACCGTGATCGCCTCGGCCTGGCCTTCAACGAGATGGTCGCCAACGGCGAACTGAAGGCGCCGGTGGTGATCGGCCGTGACCACTTGGACAGCGGCAGCGTGGCATCGCCGAACCGCGAAACCGAAGCCATGGCCGACGGCTCCGATGCAGTGTCCGACTGGCCACTGCTGAACGCCCTGCTCAACACCGCCAGCGGCGCCACCTGGGTGTCGCTGCATCACGGCGGCGGCGTCGGCATGGGCTTCTCGCAGCACGCCGGCATGGTGATCGTCTGCGACGGCACCGATGCGGCGGCCAAGCGTATCGGCCGCGTGCTGTGGAACGACCCGGCCACCGGCGTGATGCGCCATGCCGATGCCGGCTATGAGATCGCGATTGACTGCGCGAAGGAAAAGGGACTGGATCTGCCGGGAATCCTGGGCTGATCGCAGGGGTGCCGGCCAGCGGCCGGCACTACCGGGCACGTTCCGCCCTGGCAGGTGTGGTAGTGCCGGCCGCTGGCCGGCTCTCCCTGATGCGGGAATCGGTGCTCTTGACCCGATCTCCCGCCGTGACCAAGATGCGCCATCGCCGCTGACGGATCACCGCGATGTACCGCACCCTTGTTGCTGCATTGCTCTGCGCCCTGGCCATCGCCCTGCCCGCCTCGGCGCGTGACGTCCCTACCGGCCTTTCTTCCCGGCTCGACGCCCAACTGCAGGCCAACCGCGAACGCTACGGTATTGCCGGCCAGGCAGTACTGGTCGCGCACAACGGGAAGGTGCTCTACCAGGGCGCCAGCGGTGAACGCGACCCGGCCACGCATGCGCCTGCCACCGTCGATACCATCTTCGCCTCGCAGTCGGTGGCCAAACTGCTGACCAGCACGCTGGTGATGCAGCTGGTGGAACAGGGCAAGGTGGACCTGGATGCACCCGCCAGCCGCTATGTTCCGGACTTGCCGTCGGCATGGCAGGCGATCTCCGTGCGCGATTTTCTCAACCACAGTTCCGGCATTGGCGAGTACGCCGACCGCCGCGACGGCCACTGGATCAGCAAGGGCTATGACGGCATGGCACCCGATCTCGCCTCGGCGCTGAAGGTGGCCGGTGCAGCACCACTCATATTCGCCACCGGCAGCCGCGTGCAATACACCCAAGCCAACTACCTGGTGCTGACGGCGCTGCTGGAAGCGCACTACCGCAAGCCCTACCCGGCCATCGCGCGCGAACGCATCCTGCAGCCGCTGAAGATGACCAGCACTTCATGGGGCGCAGCCAGCGTACCGGCGCAGCGCGCGGCGGTGCCGTACATCGGCGAGGACGGCACATTGCAGCCCGCCAACGAAGATCCGTGGCCGAACTACGGCTGGGGCCATGCCGATCTGCAGACCACCGTGGGCGACATGAACCGTTTCCTGCAGGCGCTGGCGACCGGAAAGCTGGTACGCACGGCGACGCTGGAAAAACTATGGCAGCCGCAGAAGCTGAGCGGTGGCGGCAGCAACTTTTTCTCCACTGGTTGGGACACCACGCACAGCGACGACTACACCCAGGTCGGTCACGATGGTGGCACCCGCGTACGGGTGCGGCTGGCCTACAAGGACACGCTGGCCAGTGGCTACTGGGTGTTCGTGTACCTGACCAATGGCAGCGCGCGCAATGTGTGGTCGAGCACGTTGGTGGAGAGCACGATGGCGGTGGCCGCACCTGTCGAGTTTCCGCATGCGGTGCTGTCGGAGCGACTGATCGCCTATGCACAGGATGATGATGCCGGCGCCGCGCAGGCGATGCGGGCCTGGTTGCGCGACGACACGCGGATTACGGGCAACGAACGGGAGCGTGCGATCAATGCGAGCGGCTATGCCATCCGCGGGAGTCTGGGCGCGCGCAAGGCGCTGAAGGTGTTCACCCTCAATACCGAGCTGTATCCGGATTCGGCCAATACCTGGGACAGCCTCGCCGAGTGCCATGCGGCGCTGGGCGAGAAGGAAACGTCTGATCGGCTGTATGCGAAGGCCAAGGCGCTGGCGAAGCCTTCACCGTAAACCGATTGTAGAGACGAGCTTGCTCGACTGCTTCTCTGCATCGGAGTCGAGCACGGCTCGACGCTACAAGTGCGAAAGAGCAGTCGAGCAAGCTCGACTCTACAAGTGCGAAAGAGCAGTCGAGCAAGCTCGACTCTACAAGTGCGCGGGCGGCCATACGCCGCCGATGGGTGACGCGGCGCGCGCGACCTGTTAACTTGCGCGCCACTTTCGTGGTTTACAGCAGTCCCGCATGTCGCTCTCGTCGTACCGCCCCACTCCGTCGCCACTGTTCCTGGCCGTTTCTCTCGGCCTCGCCGCTACCGCCCACGCCGCCCCGCAGGCCACCACGCTGGATGCGGTGCAAGTCACCGCCGCCGATGCCAGCGCCCAGGCACGCGAGGCGTTGAAGCGCGTGCCCGGCGCCAGCAACGTCATCGATGTGGCCAAGGCCGACAGCCGACTGTCCAGCAGCGCCGATGTGCTGGCCTACCAGCCGGGTATCAGCGTGCAATCGCCGGGCAACGAGGGCACCAAGGTCTCCATCCGCGGCTCCGGCATCAACCGCGGCCCGGGCGCGCACGCCTCGGGTATTGCCGTGTCGATCGATGGCCTGCCGTTGACCGGACCGGGCGGCACGCCCTACGAGCTGCTGGAACCGCTGTGGCTGTCGCGCGTGGAAGTGCTGCGCGGGGCCAACGGTTTCGAGCGTGGCGCGCTGGCACTCGGCGGTGCCATCGACTACGTCAGCCGCAGCGGCCGCGATTCGGCGGGCGTGCAACTGCATTACGAAGCCGGCAGCCGTGGCTACCAGAAGCGCGGGATCAGCTGGGGGGGTGTCAGTGGCGATGTCGACTACTTCCTGGCCTACACCGATACCGAATTCGACGGTTACCAGTACCATGCCCGTGGCGACGGCAAGGGCGCGATGGCCAACATCGGCTGGCAGATCACGCCCGACCTGCAGACGCGCTTCTTCGTTCGCTACCGCGAAACCAATCACGAGACGCCCGGGCGCCTGACCCGCGACCAGATCCGCAACGACCCGCGTGCGGCGAACCCGGCCAACCTGGCCATTGATGCGCGCCGCCCGCAGCCGGGCAGCACGTGGGTGGGCAATGTCACCACGCTGCAGATCGATGAGGATTCCTCGCTGCAGGCCGGGCTGGTCTATCACAAGTACCCGATGGACTTGAACGAGAGCCTGTACCGCCAGCAGCTGGACTACGCCAACCTCAATGCCACGCTGGACTATCGCCACCGCCACCGGCTGTTCGGCCTGGACAGCGAAACCAACGTTGGCCTGCGCGTCACCCACGACCTGGACGCCGACGTGCGCGAGTCGCTGCGCTTTGCCAACAATGGCTATGCCGCTGGCACGCGCACGCGTGACTTTAGCCACCACGGCACCGACAGCACCCTGCACGTCAGCAACACCCTCACGTTGAACGACCGCCTGCGCCTGCAGACCGGACTGGCGCTGATCAACACCCGCCGTGATGTGGAGGTGACCTGGCCGAGCAGTGGCGGCCGCCTGCGCGACCACGACTGGGACTACGCGCCTCGACTGGGCTTCACCTGGCAGCACAGCGCGCAGACGCAGTGGTTCGGCAACCTCAGCCGCTCGGTGGAGGCACCGCACCCGTGGTCGATGATCTGGGGCTCGAACCAGTACTTCGGGTCGGGCAATGGCCCATCCACCGGCCGCCAACGCGCGCCGGTGCCGATGCAGAACCAGACCGCCACCACGCTTGAGCTGGGCGCACGTGGCGATGCGGCGCTGGGCCGCTGGGAACTGACCGGCTACTACGCACACGTGAACCACGAACTGCTGAGCGTGGAGCTGCAGCCGGTGCCAAACCTGTTCATCGCCGAGAACAACGCCAGCCCGACCGTGCACCGTGGCATCGAGGCCGGCTTGGACAGCACGCTGTGGCAGGCCGCGCCGGGTCGCCTGTCATTGCGCCAGGCGTATACCTTCAGCGATTTCCGGTACCGACACGATGCGCGCTTCGGCAGCAACCTCCTGCCGGGCCTGCCGCGCCACAGCTACCAGGCCGAGCTGCGCTTCGACCACGCCTCCGGCCTGTACGCCGCGCTCAATACCGAGTACGCCTCGCGTATCGCGGTGGACTACGCCAACAGCTACTGGGCCGACAGCCATGTGATCTTCGGCAGCCGCATCGGTTACGACACACCCAATGGCCGCTGGCAGGCGTGGGCGGAGATGCGCAACATCGGCAACCGCCACTACGCCGCCACGGTCACGCCGGGCTATGACGATGCCGGCAAGGATGTAGCACGCTCTACGCCGGGCGAAGGCCGCGGCATCTATGCGGGTGTGCGCTGGCGCTTTGATTGAGCCACATTCCGGCCGGGCCACTCTCCATAGCAAAGAACAGCAGCAGCCCGGGCCCCCCAGCCCGGTGCCACCGGGTGCCGCGGATCGTGCAGCATGGACGCTTGAGAACCTGATGCAGCATGCTGGCATCCTTGCCGCGCACGCGTAGGCGGTGTTGCGCGGATTCCACCGCAGCCGCTCCTCAGCTGCGGTCGACGATCCGCACGATGCGACCGCCCTCGAAAGCGAACTCGCTGCGCCCCTTCAGTGCCAGTTCCGCGCCTGCGCGGGGGCCGCCGGGAATGTCCTGCGCGAACACGCCACGCCAGCCAATGCTGGCCAACGCCACGTCATCCTCGAAGGTCAGCCCAAGCAACTGCTGCTCCCGCTCGCGGAACATCTGCGCCGATTGCCGTGCCAGCTCAGCAAAGGCATCGATGCCTTCGGTGACCAAGGTCAGCTGGCCGCCGCTATGGTTTTCGAAGCGCACGTTGTGCGCCAGCACTGCCAGCATGGCGTCGATGTCGAAGCGGTTGTAGGCCTGCAGGTAGTGCTCGATCAGGTGGCGGCAATGCGATTCGTCCATGGCGACGTCCAGTCAGGGCCAGCACCGAGTCTCCCGCGACCGTGTGGCCGGATCAAGGCGTCGCCACGGCTTTCAGCAACTGCGCGGCCACCTGGTCGAACGGGGCGATGTCCTGCAGCGCGCGGCACATCGCCACCGCGCCTTCCACGCTGGCGATCACCAGGCTGGCCAGCTCACCCGCTGCGGCCGGCGCATGCCCTTCAGCAATGAAGGCGGAGGCCAGATGGCCCTGCCAGCGCGCGAACACCTCCGCGGCGGCCGCGCGGGGCTGGCTGTGCATCGCCTCCACTGGCTCCTCCACCGCAGCGGCCAGCACCGGGCAACCGGCACGGTAGCCGGAGCGCAGCAGCCGCTCGCGCCACATCGCCAGGAACTGCTGCAGGCCCTGCACCGCGCCGCCCTTCAGCAGCTCCACCAGCAGCGCTTCCACCTTGTCGCCGGCCATGTGGGTGGCGCGCGCCAGCAGCTCCTGCTTGCCGCCGGGAAAATGGTGATAGGTGGAACCCAGCGGCGCCTCGGCCAGCTTGGTCACCTCGCGGATGCTGGTGGCATTGAGGCCCACGCGCGCCAGCATCTGTGCTGCGGCATCAATCACGCGTTGAGGCGCATCAGAGGGTCGCGGGCTCACGGCAGGCTCCTTGCTAAGACAGTCGTCATAGATTAGCGTACCGGCCGTTCTATAACAGTCGTCATAGCCATGAATCTCTGGTTCCGCCTGCTCCACCTGCTGCTGTGCAGCCTGTTCCGGCCGAAGCTGGACGCCCCGTTCGGGGTCTCGCGGCTGCAGTTCCGGGTGCTGCCCAACGACCTGGACAGCAACCTGCACATGACCAATGGCCGCTACTGGAACATCTTCGACCTGGGCCGGCTGGACCTGATCCTGCGCATGGGCCTGGGCCGGGTGGCACTGCGCGAGAAATGGGCGCCGATCGTCGGCGCCGGCACCATCCAGTTCCGCCGCGAGCTGAAGCCGTTCCAGCGCTTCACCCTGGAAACCCGGCTGGTCGGCTGGGTGGGCTCGCGCGGCATCATGGAGCAGCGTGTGCTGATCGGCGCCGAACAGAAGATCGCCACCCGCGCGCTGCTGGTCACCGGTATCTACGACCGCCGCGCGCGCCAGTTTCTCAGCATGCCGAAGATGATGGAAGCGATCGGTGTGGTGGCCCCGCCGTCGCCGCCACTGAGTGCGGCCGCCGAGGCACTGCTGGCGGCCGATGCCGCGTTGAAGCAGGACGACGCCTGAAGCCCCTCACTCCACCTTCGGCATGTTCTTGGTCACGCAATGGATGCCGCCGCCGCCGCCGGCAATCGCATCAATGTCCACCTGTTCGATCACGCGGCCGGGATACAGGTCTTCCAGCAGCTCCTGGCAGTAGCCGTCGGCGGCGTCATCACCGAACTGCGGCGCGACCACCGCGCCATTGATCGGCAGGTAGTTGATGTAGCCCATCGCCAGATCGTCGTTGTCGCGGGTATGCACGTTGTCGCGCCCGTCCAGCGGCGGCGGCAGCGTATGCACCTGCAGGCGGCGGCCATCGGCATCGCTGGCCCCGCGCAGGATCTGCAGGTGCTCGCGGGTCAGGTCGTAATCATAGGAGTCCGGATCGTTGTCGAGGTTGGCGATCACCACACCCGGACGCACGAAGCGCGCGTAGAAGTCCACGTGTGCATCGGTGATGTCCTCGCCAGCGATGCCGGGCAGCCAGATGATCTTGCGCAGGCCGAGGTGGTGCTTCAGCTCGGCTTCGATGTCCGCGCGCGACCAGCCTGGGTTGCGGTTGCGGTTCACCCAGCAGCTCTCGGTGAGGATGGCGGTGCCGTGGCCATCGACTTCGATGCCGCCGCCCTCGCCCACCAGGTCACTTTCCAGCAGCGTCGCGCCGGTCACCTGCGCCAGCCAGGGCGCCACCGCGCCATCGTTGCGCGCGCTCTGCTTGCCACCCCAGCCGTTGAAGTTGAAGTCGACCAGGCCCAACCCGCCCCGGCCGTTGGTGACGAAGCAGCCGCCGTAGTCGCGCACCCAGATGTCATCCAGCGGCACCTCGAGGAACTCGATGTTGTCGCGGCCGCAGCGATCCTGCGCCTGCTTCAATTGCGCCGGGCGGCACAGCACGCTGACCGGCTGGTGGCGGGCGATGGTGCGCGCCAGCCGCGCCACGGCAGTGTTCACCGCATCGGCCTGCGCGCCCCATACCCGCGGCTGCGCGGCGAAGGCCAGGAACACCCGCTCCTGCGGGCCGTGCTCGTCCGGCATGCGCCAGATGCCTGCGCCCGGACCTGCCGCTGCCACGCGACCCGGCAGGCCGGCCAGACCCAGGGCGGCCAGGCCGCCAAGACCGGCGGCGCCCGCCAGCTGGGTGAGGAAGTGACGACGGTTGCTCATGACAGGCTCCAGGGCCGGTGTGGGATGGACGCCATGCTGCGCTTGCCGATCCATAAGAACAAACGATAGATTCAGCCATCATCTGAACAGTTCTGCTTATCTGAAATGCTCAAGCACTGGCCACCCCTGAACGCCCTGCGGGGCTTCGAAGCCGCCGCCCGGCTCGGCAGCTTCCATCGCGCCGCCGAGGAACTGCACCTGAGCCAATCGGCCATCAGCCAGCAGATCCGCGGCCTGGAAGACGCCCTGCAGCAACCGTTGTTCTTCCGCCAGGGTCGCAGCGTCACCCTTACCGACGCCGGCCTTGATCTGCTGGAAACCACCCAGTCCCTGCTGCGCCAGCTGGCCAGCGGCATCCGCCGGCTCGATCAATACCGCAAACCCAATCAATTGATCGTCAACACCAGCCCGGCCTTTGCCCGCCATTGGCTGGTGCCGCGCCTGGCGGAGTTCCATCGCCTGAATCCCGGCGCCGACCTCTGGCTGCTGACAAGCGAGGAAGCACCCGATATGACCACGCAGACGCTGGACGTGGCGGTGCGTGATGACCTCGACTCACAGGCGCAGTGCCAGCATCGGGTGCTGCTGCAGGATCGCCTCTATCCGGCCTGCCATCCGGCCCTGCTCGCCACGCCTGTGCACGAACGACTCACCCTGCATGGCGAGCGCGAGATGGACTGGAGCCAGTGGCAGGTACAGGGCGGCGCCGACGTGGGCCAGCGCCGCGAAGGCATGAACTTCTCCGAGCCCGGGCAACTGCTGGATGCAGCCTGCCAAGGGCTGGGCATCGCACTGGTCAGCGAACTGCTGAGCGCGCGTGCGTGCGAACAAGGCCTGCTGCAAGCCCTGGATGATGCACGCGTGCGCGGCCCACGCTGGAGCTGGCTGGTGCATGAGGACAGCGCCGCAGATCCGCTGGTGATCAGTTTCGGTGAGTGGTTGCTGGCGAGTCTGCCTGATCCAGCGCGCGCTTGATCGCCGCCTCGGCCAACGGCGCCATCACTTCATAGCCCTTCGCAGTGGGATGCACGCCGTCGTCGGCCAGCTGCGGGTCGAGGCCACCAGCGGCATTGGCCATCGGCGTGTGGTAGTCCAGATACACCAGCTGCTTCGCATCGGCATAGCGCTTCAAGGCAGCGTTCAACGCACGCACCTTGGGCGCAGGTGCCGTGCCCGGCAACCAGGGGTAGTCGCTGACCGGCAGCACCGAAGCCAGCACCACGCGGATGCCATGCACTTGCGCCAGATCCACCATCGCGTGCAGGTTGTCCTCAATCATCGCCTGCGTGGACGGGCCGGTGTTGCCGGCAATGTCATTGGTACCGGCCAGGATCACCACCACCTGCGGCTTCAGCGCCAGCACATCCTGCGGGAAACGCAGCAGCATCTGCGCCGTGGTCTGGCCACTGATGCCACGGTTGAGCCAGCCCCTGCCGGGAAACAACGAGGCGCTGCCTTCCCTGCCCCAACCTTCGGTAATCGAATCACCGAAGAACACCACGCGTGGTTGACCGGGCACTGCCGTAGGCAGCTGTGAGTTGGCGTCGCGATAACGCTGCAGCTGCGGCCAGTCGGCCAGTTGCTGCTGCATGAAACGCACTTCGTCCGGGCGCAGCCGTTCAACAGGCTTGACCAGCAACGGATTGACCGCCGCCTGTTCGGCCGCCTCCAGTGGCGTGCTCAGCGCCATGACAACGGTGATTGCACCGGCAAGCAGCACGGATCCACGCATGCGGATTCTCCAGATGACCAGACCCGCAGTCTAGCGCTGTGCACAAGGCTCAGCGCGCAGCGGTGCGCGCCGCCACGCCGGTCACCTTCGCCGGCATCCACATGCCCGGCGTCCAGCCGCTGGCGGCCAGGATGGTCTTCGGGTTGTCCTGCTGGATCAGCGCACGCACCGCGTCACGCTTGTCCCTGGCCTGCAGGTAGTAGGCCTTGGCAATGCGGTAACCGACCCAGTAGCCCAGGTCGTAGGGCTCCTGCGAACCGGGCGTGTAGTTGTACAGCCACGGCGAAAGGTCGGTGCTGTCGAGGTCGAGTGCGAACGCGCTTTCGATATGCACTTCGCGGCCGCGTGTCCACGCGGCATGGCGGCCATTGCCCACGTTGCCGGAAATCAGTTCGGCGATGAACTCGGCGATGCCCTCACCCAGCGACACGCGCAGTACCGTCGCATGCGGATCGCCCGGCTCGAAGTCGGTCAGCCCGGTCTGCTGGATGTGCACGTACTCATGCGCGATCACGTGAACGAAGCGGTCCTGCACATTGGGATTCATGAAATCCGCCGCACACAGCGCTTCCAGGCCGATGATCACCCCACTCTTCGAGGTCAGCCCGACCGGCCGGCCACGGCCCACCGCGATGGTCACCGGCGGGAACCGGGTCTGCGGGTAGATCGCCCGCAGGTTGGCGAACACGTGCGTCAGACGCTGCTTCACCATCGGCAGCTCGGCCAGGCAGTTTAGTCCCTGGGCGTACAGCTCGGGCTGGGCGACCATGGCTTCGGCAATCCGTTCGGGAGTGACCCGCCGCGCCTTGGCCAACTCCGCCAGGCCCACCGAGCCCTCGGCCATGTATCCACGCAGCTGTGCAACGCTGGGCTTGCCGCCGGCAGTGTCGTACAGCGCGTAGAAGCGGGTGACATCCTCGGTGAGGATTTGCGGCGCGGCCGGCTCCGCCGCCATGGCCATGCCAACCGCCCCGGTACAGGCCAGGGCCAACAGGCCGCGCAGGATCATGAACATCGCTCCGTCCTTGGTGGAGTGCATGCGAAGCGCGCAATCTACCACTCTGCCCGACCCGCCGCAGCAGGCGGATGCGGCCGCTCCGGCGCTGTGCCAGACTCGCTTCGGCACCTGCCACGGATGATGGAGCACCGCACGATGATGATCGTCCCCGCGTACTGGGCCGAAGCCCGCCTGCAGGCCCGTTTCCGCGGCCGGCCGGTGGTCGTGCGCCGCTTCGGCTGGTCCGACGAAGGCCCGGCCGAGGCCCAGGGGCACGCCGACCGGCGTGCCAATGAAGCCCTCAACGCCATCCTTGCCGGACAGGCACTGCCGCGTCGTGAGGTGCGCAGCAACTACGGTGTGGAAGGTGTTCCGATCCGCGAGCAGATCGTGCGGCGCGACGGCGATGTCATCATCACCCGCAACAGCTACGGTGCGCTGTGCCTGAACACCCCGGACGTGCTGTTCGCCGACATCGACCACGCGCAGCCCCCGGCAGGGTGCGTGATGCCCGCCCTCATCGCGGCGGTGCTGCTGTTTGCCGGCGCCATCATTGGTACCCTGCTCTGGCACTGGCTGGTGGGACTGGTGCTGGGCGTGGCGGCAGTGGTGCTGGTGAATACCGCGCTGCTGATGCAACGCAGGCGCCGCCTGGCAGCGGCCGGTGGCGCCGAGGGTGTGGCCCTGCAGCGGGTCGCGACCTTCAGCGAGCAGCATCCGGATTGGCACCTGCGCGCCTACCGGACGCCGGCCGGACTGCGCGTGCTGGCCATGCACGCCACGTTCCCACCCGAGGACGAACAGCTGCAGGCGTTCTTCAAGGCACTGGGCGCCGACACCCTGTACGCGCGCATGTGCCGGTTGCAGCATTGCTTCCGTGCACGGCTGACACCCAAACCCTGGCGCGTCGGCCTGAAGCACCGCATCCGTCCGCCGGTGGCCGCGTGGTCAACCGAGCAGGCCAACAACCCGGACCGCCTGGCCTGGATTGCCGAATACGAGAAGAAGAGTTCCGGCTTCGCGGCCTGCGCCTATCTGCGCAGCTTTGGTGATACCACGCGGACCCATGCCAAGGCCGAACATGTGCGCGACCTGCATGATCGCCTGTCGCACGCGCTGGACCGGCTGCCGCTGGCGTGAGCGCAGGGGGCGCTCAGTCAGCGCCCTGCACGAACGGCTGCCCTGCCAGGGTAGTGCCCAGCCGCACCGCGACCTGCTGATCGCCCTTTTCGAAGGTCGTGACGCACTCTTTTCCGCCTTTCTGGCATCCGACTTCCGGAAAGCCTTCCAGCGATTCCGGCGCGCCCTGCATCGGCTGGGCCTGCCAGCCGGCCGCATCGAGCAGGCGCTTGGCCTTGGCGTAAGGCATGCCGGCGATGATCCCCAGCTGGGCCAGCTCGGCAGGCAGGGCCTGGGCGTGTATCGCAGGCGCCTGCGCCACCATCAGTAATGCAGCAAGAACCACAACCTTCATCGGTGCGCCCTACAACTTACGCTGGAACTACAGGGTAGCCCAGTGGCGGCCGCTGTCGGTGCCCGGATCACCCTTTGTTACCCAATCCAGGCAGGCTGTTACCTGGTGTTACCGTTCGGCCAATGCCCCGCCGGCCGAAGCTCATCGACCCAACCCGCCCGCAACGGCCCCTGCTGCCGGAACCGTTGCGGGCATGCCACCTCATGCGCAGGCCGGATCAGCCCGGCACAAGTGTGGCGCGCGCCTCCTGACGGTGCAGTGCACCCGCCCACAGGGATGGGTCGACATCGGCCAGCTGCACAGGTACATCGCCAACGAGCCCGGTGGCAGCACCTGCCCGGAACGCGCCCATGGCCCCTACCAGATGCTGCAGCTCGGCCTCCAGCGACATTCCCTCCGGCGCAGGCGCAGCGTCAGACGTCATGCTGGTGCGAAGTGCCGTCATCGGTGTCAACTGACTGGCAATCTGATCGGCGGTGATGGCGTAGTCACCATCGCCAGGCTGCACGAAAGCGATGGCGTACTGCCCACCCTGGAAATGACGAAGCACACGCATCTGCTGCCCGGCGCTGCCATCCACCCTGACGACCAGATCATCGCCGTCACGGTGATAACTCAGGCGGCTGCGATCAATGCCATCGAAGTACAACCAGTCGGTACCACCGCCGGTGTTGTCCACCGTATCGGCGCCCGATCCGGCCCGGTAGAAATAGGTGTCGTTGCCCACTCCGCCGATGAGCATGTCATCGCCATCTTCGCCCACCAGCTGGTCATCGCCGGCGCCACCGATCAGGATGTCCTTGCCTGATCCGCTGAAGCTGCCGTTGCCACCGGACAGGTAATCATTGCCATCGCCGCCTTCCAGCTTGTCATCGCCCCCCATTCCGAACAACTTGTCGTCGCCGGCAAGGCCCTTGATCAGGTCACGCCCGCTGGTACCGACCAACTGCTCGGCGTTCGCCGTACCGTTGATCTTGGACGGGTAGTCGGCATCGTTTCCGGCGCCCGGCGTACCTCCGCCGTCACCGCCGCCGTTGCTGACCAGCGCATTGATGGCCGCGGTGTTGAGCGCATTGCCGGTGGCAGCCTGCAGGTAGTCGAGCGCCCAGTCACCGCCGAGGAAGTGATTGGTCACCGTGACGCGCTGGTTGGCGTTTCCGTTCACAACGATCACCAGATTGTCACCTTCGCGGGTGAAAGCAAGCTGTCCGGTGGTAATGCCGTTCTGGAAGAACAGCCAGTCGACGCCGCCCCCCGTATTGTCGATCACATCGTTTCCGCCGCCATGGATGTACTGGTCATCGCCACTGCCACCCACAAGCACGTTGTTGCCATCCTGGCCGCGCAGGGTATCGTTGCCTGCCCCGCCCTCGAGCCGGTCGTTGCCGGAGCCCGCAGCGCTGCCGTTGCCGCCTGCAAGCTGATCATTGCCATCGCCTCCGCGCAGCGTGTCGTCGCCTGCCATGCCGAACAGCGTGTCATCGCCCCCCAGTCCCTCGATCAGGTCCTTGCCGGCAGTGCCCACCAACTGCTCTCCCGCCGAGGTGCCGGTGATGGTCTTGTCGAATCCGCCCCCACTGCCGCCACTCACCAGCTGATTGATCTGGGCCGCGCTGAGTGAACTGCCTCCGTCAGGCTGAACCTGATCGATGGCCCAGTCCCCGCCGAGGAAGTGATTGCGCACGCGCACCGCCGGCGTGGCTGCCTGGTCGATCCGGATCAACAGGTCATCCCCCTCGCGGGAGAAGCTCAGCCGCTCCCGGGTGACGCCGTTCTGGAAGAACACCGTATCGTTGCCGCCACCGGTATTGTCGACCACATCGCTGCCCGAGTTCGCATCGACCAGATAGGCGTCATTGCCAGCTCCGCCCAGCAGGGTATCGTTGCCGCCCCCACCACTGAGCGTGTCGTTGCCGCCTCCTCCGTTGAGCGTGTTGCTGCCGCTGTTGCCCGCCAGGTAGTTGCCCAGCGCGTTGCCGGTCCCGTTGATGTCAGCACTTCCGGTCAGGAACAGGTTCTCCAGATCCGCCGACAGCGTGTAGGAAGCCGAAGACTGCACCTGGTCAGTGCCACCGCCGGCAAGCTCGATGATCGTGTCCGCCGTATTGTCCACGATGTAGATGTCATTGCCTGCGCCACCACTCATCTGATCAGCACCGCTGCCGCCGTCAAGATAGTCCGCACCATTGTCACCGCGCAGGACATCGTCACCGCTGCCGCCCCATAGCTGGTCATCGCCATCACCACCGACAAGGGTGTCGTTGCCGTCCATGCCGCTCAGCTTGTTTGCCGCAGCGTTGCCATTGATGACATTGTCCAACGCGTTGCCGTTGCCGGACACAATGCCGTTGGCCAGGATCAGGTTCTCGACATTGTCGGCCAGGATCAGGTTCGTCTCGAAGCGGCGCTCGATGGTATCCAGGCCGCCGCCTTCGTCCTCGAACACGCGATCCTGGGCCGACTCGATGATGTACAGATCATCGCCCAGGCCACCGTACAGACGATCAGCACCCAGGCCGCCTTCGAGCCGATTGTTGCCATCATTGCCATACAGCTCGTTGTCCAGGCTGTTGCCAACCCCGCTCAGGTTGCCGGAGCCGGTCAGCACCAGGTTCTCCAGATGGTCGCCCAGCTGCCAGTCCAGCGCCGACTCCACGGTATCGATGCCTTCGCCGGCCACCTCGATGACAACGTCGCCGGCACTGTCGACCACGTAGGTATCATCGCCGCCACCGCCGACCAGGCGATCTTCCCCGCGGCGCCATCAAGCCTGTTGTCGCCCAGATTGCCGATCAACGTATTGTTGCCCTGGTTGCCGGTCCCCTCATACGCACCGTCCAGCAGCTCGAGCCGCTCGACATTCTCGCCCAGCACGTAGCGATGGCTGCCACTGCGAACAGTGTCGTCACCGCCGCCGGCCAGTTCGATCACCTGCTGGCTCGGGTCGCTCACCACATAGATATCGTCGCCCTCACCGCCATACAGGCGATCACCGGCACCTGCACCACTCAATACATCATTGCCCGCGCCGCCATGCAGATCATCGCGGAACTGGGTGCCGGCAAGTACATCCGCGCCGTCGGTACCCGCAGCACGTTGCGTACATTCACCGTCAGCCAGGCCGTGGTGCGCTGCCCCCAGCTGTCGGCGGCGATGATGTCCAGCGAAAGATCCGCACCGCCATTGGGCGGTGTGCCCGTAAGCTCGCCGGTGAGCGGATCGATGACCAGCCAGGCTGGCGCGTTCTCACTCAGCGAATAGGTCAGCGTGTCCTGTGCCTCATCCTGGAACATGCCCGAGGGAATCTTCGCCGAGAAGGCGGTCTCACCGATGGCCTCGAACTCGACGAACGGGATCAGCGTGACCGGAGGCTTATTGGTGTACGGCAGCTGGTGCAGATCGCCGCGGCGCACGGTGCCGTCGGCGAACAGGAAGTGGTCGATCACCCCACGCACCACCAGCCTGTCGCCCTCCTCATACCAGTAGCTGCTGACCGTAAGCTGATCATTCGGATCGCTGCCGACCTGCACGATCAGGTCCAGACCGCTGCGACTGAAGGTGACGTGGTCCGGGTCGATCCCTGCGCCAAACACCACACGGTCGCGGCCGGCGCCGGCCCAGGAATCCACCGTATCGCGACCATCGCCTATTCCGTAGTGGAAATCGTCGTCGCCATAACCGCCCCTGAGCACGTCATCGCCGGTACCGCCATGCAGGTCCGCACCGCCCTGGCCTGCGATCAGCAGATCATTGCCCTCTTCACCGTACAGGTAGTCCCGGCTGGCCTTGTAGACCGTGTTCGGCTCACGATCGCCGCCTTTGAGAGTATCGTTGCCTCCGCCACCGCGGATCTCGTTGCTGAACCCGTTTCCGGTCAGGACGTTGTCACCGGCATCGCCGCGCAGATTCGCATGGAACGCGCCACCGTTGATGGTGCCCGCGCCGCGTCCATCAGGCACCAGGTTGTTGCCCAGCTCCAGGTTCTCGATATTTGCGAAATTGGCGACATCGAACCACTGGTTCTGTGGCGCGCCATCCTCGATGGCGTCAATCACCACGGTATCGTTGCCCTCGCCGGCCAGCTCCACCACCGTATCGTTGGCACTGATGATGTAGCGATCATCGCCCATCCCACCGTACAGGTGGTTGGCACCCATCGACGTGCGGCCGTTGAGCGTGTTGTTGCCCGCATTGCCCCAACCTGCCCAATCGCCACTGCCAACCAGCTCGAGGTTCTCGATGTTGACCAGATTGGCGATCGAATAGGACAGGCTGGCACGCACCGTATCAATGGAGAAGCGGTTGTCAGAGCCCCAGTCACCTTCGATGATCACATCGCCAAGGCTGTCGACCACATAGGTTTCGTTGGCCTCGGTTCCGATCAGCGTGTCATTGCCGGCACCACCGTCAAGCACGTAATAACGTCCACTATGGCTGCCCATGTACGACGGCTTGCCGAACTGGATGATGTTGTCCAGATCATTGCCGACCAAGCTGCGGGGAATGTGCACGATCCAACCGGGATAGGACGGATTCTGCCAATGCCAGGTACTGCTGTTGAACACGCCCACCAGATTCTCGACATTGGCCGTCAAGGTGTACGAGAAGGACTCGGCAAAGACGGTGTCCACGCCTTCACCTTCCAGTTCAAGCAGTGGTATCAACGCAGAGTACTCTGGTAGCCGGTGCTGATGTAGTAGCGATCATTGCCTGCGCCACCGCGCAGGATATCGGGACTGCCGTCGCCGAACTCGTTGGCATACAGCATGTCGTCACCGGCGCCGCCATCAAGCACGTCCGCGCCGCCATCGCCGTAGATCACATCGTTGCCGTCGCCACCGAACAGCTGATCGTCGCCTTCGCCGCCGAAGATTCGATCATTGCCCCCCTGGCCATGGACGATATCGTTGCCGGCACCGGCACGCAGGTTGTTGCCTTCATCGGTCGCCGTGTATGTATCGTCACCGTCGGTACCGTTCCAGCTGCGCGCCGTCTCGACGAAGTCCTCGGCGCTCATCCACGTGCCATCGTCGAATTCGATGATGTGGCTGCGATTGCTCCCGGCAAGGAATCCATCCAGGCTCAGTGACTGGAACCCCGCGCCGGTGAAGAAGGCGAGCATCAGGGTCATCGCCGGAGATCTGGACGTTGTTGATCATCGCCCGAGTCAGCCCAGGGCCGATTCGGATGATGTCCGTGCCCGCCTCGGCGCTGCCCAGATTGATGATGCGGTCGTAGCCATGACCGAAGTCGTAGTGATAGATGTCGTTGCCGGCGCCGCCGTCGAGCACGTCATGGCCAAAACCACCGATCAGCAGGTCATCGCCGCCGCCCCCGAACAGCCGGTCGTTGCCCTCCAGGCCCATCAGCGTATCGTTGCCGTCGGCGCCATACAGACTGTCATCGCCGCTGGTGCCCAGCATGCTGTCATCACCGCCGGTACCGAAGACAAGCGACGGCAGCTCCAGTTGTTCCTCCAGGCGGCCGCGATCGGTGACGTCGGTGCCGCCCACTGCGATCCCGCCCGCTCCGGTGGATGCAAAGTAGTTGTGCACCACCACCGTATCAGCGCCGTTGATGTGGCGGATGATCAGATCCAGCCCGTACGCCTCGTAGTGCAGGTCGGCCTGGTTGATGCTTGAACCGAAGGTGATGCGATCACTACCCGGATTGCCCTCCTGCAGGTAGACATGATCGATACCAAACCCCGCTTCGAAGTGGTACTGGTTGTTGCCGGTGCCACCGTAGAGCACGTCATTGCCGGTGCCGCCATCCAGGATGTCGTCGCCGGCGCCGCCGGACAGCAGGTCATTGCCTGCGCCACCGCGCAGCGTATCGTTGCCTCCCGGGCCATTGTCTTCATCACCGTACAATCTGTCATCGCCGGCTCCGCCATTGAGCTCGTCGTGCCCGCCCTGCCCGAACAGCACGTCGTTGCCAGCTCCGCCGTCGAGATAGTCATTGCCAGCCGCACCGGAACTGCCGGCACCGCCATCGCCGGCCAGGACGTCATCACCGGCGCCGCCATACAGGCTGTCGTTGCCATCCTCACCAAACAGACGATCAGCGCCGTTGCCGCCGTTCAGGGAATCATTGCCGGCGCCACCCTGCAGCTCGTCGTCGCCATCGCCGCCGTCGAGCGTGTCGCGCCCATCGCCGCCCATCAACATGTCGTTGCCCGCACCGCCGGCAAGCACATCGTCGCCCGCTTCACCGCGCAGGGTGTCGGCGCCCTCGCCACCGGACAGTGTGTCCTTGCCAGTCCCACCCCACAGTTCGTCGTCGCCCTCGCCACCCATGAGCGTGTCATCGCCTTCGCCGCCGATCAGCACATCCTTGCCGGCGCCACCATCGAGATGATCATTGCCATCGCCACCTTCCAGATGATCGGCGCCCTCGCCTCCCAGCAGAACATCATTGCCATCCTGCCCGAACAGCCGGTCGGCGCCATTGCCGCCGTCAAGGGTGTCGTCACCGTCTTCGCCCTGCAGCTCATCGTCACCGTCTTCGCCCACCAGGCGATCATTGCCGGTACCGCCAACCAGAAGATCGTTGCCAATGCCGCCGGACAGCAGATCATCGCCAGCCTGGCCGGACAGCTGGTCATTGCCGGCGCCACCCCGCAGGATGTCGTTGCCGCCGCCAACGATTCCGGATTGCGGGTAGTAGTCACCCCAGATCAGATCATCACCGTCTCCACCGTCGATCAGGTCATTTCCACCTTCCCCCCACATCTCGTCGTTGCCGGCACCGCCGTCGATGCTGTCGTTGCCATCACCGCCGGCCACCTGGTCGTTGCCGGCCCCGGCCAGGATCACATCGTGGCCGCCTTCTCCACTGATCGCATCGTCACCATCTCCCCCATCGAGGTAATCCGCTGCACTGCTGCCACCGAGCTGGTCGTTGCCGTCTTCGCCAAACAGGCTCACACCGCTGGTGTAGGTGATGCCGGAGCCGCCCTCCGTGGTGATCCTTCCCTGGCCCAGCGCGATGCCATCCGGCTCGGTGGCGCTGCTGTAGACCAGGGTGTAGGTATCATTGTCCAGGCGCCGGAATCTGAACGTCCAGCCTGGCGCCACCGAGGCGCCACTGAAATCGAACATGCCCGACAGGCCATAGTCGAAGCCGATGGCCAGGCTGCCATCATCGCGGCGTCCCAGCCTCTGCATCGCGCTCCAGCTGAAGAAGGCCTCCACGTCGCGCCAGATGCCGGATTCGGTAATCGGTACACGTGAATTCGTGCGCACATCAAAGCCGAAGTTCCACTGTGCGTTGAGGACATCATTGCCCTCTCCGCCATGCGCGATCGTCCCCGATCCCAGGCCGGAGATGAAGTCGTGGCCGACGCCGCCGGTGATGATGTCGGCGCCACCGCGACCGTTGATGATGTCACTGCCTTCACCACCGTCCAGGGTGTCACCACTGCCGAACGCGGTTCCCCAGATCATGTCGCGGCCATTGCCACCGGACAGGTTGACCGCAGCGCTGGGCACGCTGTTCACGAAGGGATTGAGGAAATCAGCCAGCCCGGTGCCTCCCGTGCCTCCCTGGCCGGGCTTGAACTCGGGCAGCGTGATGCCCAGGTGGCCCTGGCTCCAGCCGTCGACCATCACGCTGCCGGTGTCGGTGCCACTGCGGATGATCAGCTTCGAACCGTTGGCGACCGAGTGGCTGACCTTGATCTGGCCATCGGCGCTCTCCCAGGTGGTGGCTGACGTCGCGATGAGTCCGTTGGCCCAAGCGCCGTTGCCGTTGATGATCACGGTACCGTTGCCGTCGGTATCGACGATCGTATCCAGATCGCCGGCCAGGCCAGTACCAATGGTGTAGGTGTCAAAACCCAGACCGCCGTGCAACTGGTCGCTGCCGGTACCGCCGTCGAGCGTATCGTTGCCCGCGCCACCGAACAGTGCGTCATTGCCGGCGCCGCCGTTCAGGGTATCGTTGCCGGTACCGCCGTCGATCACATCGTTGCCGGCCAGGCCAGAGAGCACGTCTGCGCCATCCTGGCCGAAGAGGACGTCGGCCTCATCGGTACCGTCGATGGCATCACCCTGCAGCGAGCCATAGGCGGTCAGTCCGCTCCCTTGCTTGACCGACAGCTTCAGCACCTCGGGCAGGGCATTGAGGAATTCGCGGATCTGGTCCTTGTTGAACTCCCCGTCCTGGGCATCCAGCATCAGCGCGCCGGTGAAGAACAGGAAGGGATCCAAGGGGCGGGCAACCCATCCGGAGCCGTCCTCCAGCATTTCGGTGCTCAACCGCGCCAGCCATGCCGAGTACACATCCTCGTTCGCCCCCAGGCGCAGGAACCATGTGCCGGCGCCCTGCGGATCGTGCTCTGCGTTCTTGACCACCTCGACCAGCAGTTCGATGCCGGCCTTGGTGTCCCATGGCAGACGACCGTTGCTGTCGAGCATCGAGTCCCAGATGGCGGCACGCTCCTGTTCGTCCAGCAGCTTGAACGGCGTATTCAACGTCCAGGAATCGACCGGCAGATTGAGCTCGGTGAAGATGCGATTGTGGAAGGTCCATGCTTCGTCGGCGGTAATCTCACGGACAACATCACCGGCCGCATTGGCGATCTGGTCAAGCATATCCAGGAGACCCCGGGCCATGCCCGCGCGCACGGCCTGGATTTTTGCATCGTCTACCGGAACTCCATGATCTTTTGCGGTTTCCTCCAGAAACTCCAGTGCGGTCAGACCGGAGAACATGTTGCCCACGGCCACGCCACTGGCCAGCCGGGCATAGCGATGCCCGAATCCGGCGATGAACTGATACACCTCCTCGATCTTGCCGCTGTCGAGCATCGCCCGCGCCATTGCACGCTGTTCGGCGGTCATCGTTTCAACCATGTTCAATCTCCTTCACGTTCCGGTGTGTAGGGCAATGGGACCTGATGCGTTTCAGATAGGCCTGGACATCCGACTCGATCTTCCGCCAATGCGGCAACAGGTTCTGACGATAAACAACGGTGGTGCGTACGTTCAGCAGCCCAGGCTGCTCAAGCGAGGCCTCGCACAGTGGCGTCCACTGCGGAGGTGCGTATTGCGGCCCGGTCATGCAGCGGATCAGGACGGTGGGTGCGCGTGCCGGGTCCAGGCTGTCGGTATAGGTGACCCTGTTCCAGTTGAAGCTCCGGCTCTCCGGCAACGCCGGTCTGGCCATCTCCAGTCCAAGGGCGGCGTCACGACCGAACTCGAATGTGACCTCGGCGGGCAGTCTTTGATGGTGAAGGCGGTACAGTCCCCAGTCACGAATCTGCCGCAGCGTAATGTTCTCGCCCTCGCCTGCCTGGTTCAGGCCGATGTCAATCCAGTTCGAATCGCCGTTCCCCGCAGAGTGATGCCGGTCGTAGTCCTCCCGGGTCTGTGCGTTGCGCGGCACCATCTCCGGCCAACGCAGCTGGATGGAAACGCTGCGCAACGGTGCCCCGCAGCTTGACGAGGGGTCGGCGCGCGCGTCCCGGTCCTGCTCCCATATCCACACATCCTCTCTGGGCACCTCCAGCGCGACTCCACCAATGCGTCCCTGCAGCCGTGCGGCCTCTGGCTCTTTCCTGTCGGACCCGCACCCCACCAGCATCGCCGACATCGACAAGCACAGCAGCAGGCCGAACCGCAGCCGGCACACGCTTGCCAGCCACCTGCCAGCCACTGCAGGATCGCGCTCAGCGTTCACGCAGCGATTCCTGCGCGTGCTGCTGAAGAGGGCTGAGCAGATAGTCGATGACCCGCCGCCGCCCCGTCTTGATTTCTGCGGACAGGCTCATGCCAGCACTCATCCTCACTTTGACGCCGCCTATATCCAGCTCGGAACGGTCCAGGCGGATGCGTGCAGGAAACACCAGGCCCAGTTGCTCATCCTGTGCCGCATCATGGGAGACGCTCACGACGGTACCGGTGAGATAGCCGTAACGTGTGTAGGGGAAACTGTCGATCTTGATGGTGACCGCCTGGCCCGGCCGTACGAAGCCGATATCCTTGTTGAGCAGCGTTGCCTCCACTTCCATGCCATCACCACTGGGCACCACCACCAACAGCGGCTGTGCCGGCGTCACCACCCCGCCCACGGTGTGTACGGTCAGCTGCTGCACCGTTCCGTCCACTGGCGCGCGCAACGTCATCTGACGGTTGCGCTGACCGGTCTTGGCCACTTCCGGCCCCATCTGCCCGATCTGCTCCTGGGCCTTGCGCAGTTCATCAAGGGCCTGTTGCCGGGTATCGGTGACCAGCACGCGCAGTTCTTCCCGTGCCGCCAGCAGTGCCGAGCGCAGCTCCTGCACCCGATTGCGCTGCGTGGCCAGGTCCCGCTCGGCGGCGATGCGTTCCTGTTCGCGCAGCAGATAGTCATGCCGCCCTACGTAGTTGCCCTCCACCAGGCGCGCATAGTCCGCCGCACGGGTGCGTGCGATCTGCGCCGAATCGCTCAGCGGCTGGATCAGGCCCTCGGTGGTGTGAAGCTCTGCCTGGCGCTGTTGGATGCCGGCCTGCAAGCCATTGCGCCGGGCCTGGAATGCGTCGAACTGGCTGCGCACGAGCACCTGTTCGTCCGCCAGCCGCTGCGCAGGCAGCCTGCTGTCCAGAGGCAGCTGCGGCACGTTGCCCGTGTCGAAGGCCACCAGCAATGCATCAAGCCTCAGCGCCGCCAACCGTGCATTGGTCAGCGCTTCGTCAGCCTGGGCGAGCTCCGCCCCGGTGCCCGCCCCCTCCAGCTCGATCAGCAGTTCACCCGCTTTCACCGCCTGCCCGTCGCGCACCAGTATGCGACGCACCACCGCAGTCTCGGCCGGCTGTACCACCTTGGTCCGTGAGTTGACGACAGTCTTGCCCGGAGCCACCGCTACGATGTCCAGCTGGCCGATGCATGCCCATAACAGCGCCACGCAGAACAGCGCGATGATGATCCGCATGCTCCAGCGTGACGTTGGCGAAATGGGGGTCTCGATCAACTCCAGGTGGGCGGGCAGGAAGTCACGCTCATCTGCCGTTCGCTGTGGCGCCTCCATCTGCGCCCGTGCCTTCCAGGCTGCACCGGCCACGCGCCCATATCGTCGCAGGAAATCGCCTGCAGCCTGCAACCGATGCTTCATGCCGCACCCGCCTGCAGCCGATGCAGGCGCACATAGAAGCCCTCCGGCCGGCGCATCAGTTCCTCATGTGCACCAACCTCGACGATCCGCCCCTTCTCTACTACCACGATGCGGTTGGCGTGGCGCACCGTAGACAGCCGGTGCGCGATGATCAGTACAGTGCGGCCCTTGCATATCGCACGCATGTTCGACATCACGGCGTGCTCGGACTCGTAGTCCAGGGCGCTGGTGGCCTCGTCAAATATCAGGATGCGCGGATCGGTGATCAGCGCCCGGGCGATAGCGATGCGCTGGCGCTGTCCACCGGAAAGCCCCGTGCCATGCTCACCCACCTTGGTGTCATAGCCCTCGGGCAACTCGATGATGAACTCGTGCGCGCCGGCAAGCGTGGCGGCCTGGATTACTCGTTCCAGCGGCATGCCAGGCTCGCCCAGCGCGATGTTCTCGCGCACCGAGCGGTTGAACAGGAAATTCTCCTGCAGGACCACGCCGAGTTGTCGCCGCAACCATGCCGGATCGGCCAACGCCAGATCGTGTCCATCGATCAGCACCCTGCCCTGTTCCGGCGAATACAGGCGCTGCACCAGCTTGGTCAGCGTGCTCTTGCCCGAGCCTGAGCGCCCGACGATACCAACCACTTCGCCGGGCCGGACATCCAGTTCGATATCAGCAAGCACGGCCGCAGCGTCTGGACGATAGCGGAACCCGACGCGTTCGAACGTGATCCGGCCCTGGATCGGAGGCAATGCCATCCGGCTTCCCGGCAGCTCAGTGCGCGTATTGAGGATATCGCCCAGTCGTTCGACCGAGATCCCGACCTGCTGGAAGTCCTGCCAAAGCTGAGCCAGGCGGATGATCGGCGCCGCCACCTGGCCGGACAGCATGTTGAAGGCAATCAACTGACCCAGGCTCAACTTGCCTTCGATGACCAGCTTCGCGCCCCAGAACAGGATCGCAACGGCCACCAGCTTCTGCACAAGCTGCACGCTCTGCTGGCCGAGCGTGGCGATGCGGGTGACGTTGAAGCCTGCGCTGACGTATCCCGCCAACTGGCTGTCCCACGTGCGGGTCACCCTCGGGTCCACCGCCATGGCCTTGACCGTTCCGATGCCGCTGACGGTCTCCACCAGAAACGCCTGGTTGTCGGCGCCACGCTGGAACTTGTCATTCAGGCGCCTGCGAAGTACAGGCGTCACCAATGCCGAAATCAGTGCATACACCGGAAGCGAAAGCGCCACGATCAGGGTCAGCCAGCCGCTGTAGTGGAACATCACGGCAAGGAAGACAACCGTGAAGAACAGGTCCAGCACCGAGGTCAACGCCTGCCCGGTGAGGAAACTGCGGATGTTTTCCAGTTCCCGCACGCGGGCGATGGTGTCGCCCACGCGGCGTGACTCGAAGTACGCCAACGGAAGCGCAAGCACATGCCGGAACAGGCGCGCGCCGAGTTCGACATCGATCTTGCTGCTGGTGTGTGAGAAGACGTACGTACGCAGGCCTGACAGCACCACGTCGAACACCGCCATCGAAACCAGGCCGATGGCAATCACATCCAGCGTGGTGAGCCCCCGGTGCACCAGCACCTTGTCCATCACTACCTGGTAGAACAGCGGTGTTACCAGGGCAAACATCTGGATGAAGAACGAGACGATCAGCACTTCGACCAGCAAGCGCCGGTACTTGATGACTGCCGGGATGAACCAGCTGAAATCGAATCTTGCCAGTTCGCCCAGCACCGAGGCGCGCGAGGTCACCTGCAGCAGGCGTCCTGCATAGCGCTGCCCCAGTTCGTCCAGCGTGAGCGTTCGCGGCCGCTTTTCGGCCAGGTCGTGGATGAGCACCTGATCGGCGTCGATCCGCGCAATGATGAAAGGATGCGCGCCCGCCAACGCCAGCGCCGGCAGCGTGACCCTGGAAAGGCGCCGCTGCGGCGTCGCTGAGATCCGGGCCTTGAGGCCCAACCGGCGGGCGGCCAGCAGCAGGGTCGTCTCGTCAAATGCTTCGCCGTTGCGTCCATGCGCATGCGCCAGCTGCTCCGCATCCGCAGCAATGCCATGGAACTGCGCAAGCAGCACCAGCCCCCGCAACGCCAGATCTGGCTGGGCGTGAACCACGCGCTCGCGCGCGACGCCCTGACTGGCTACCGTCCCCTGGTGCATGTCATCCCTGAATGCGTTTTCCCCGGCCCGATCATCGGATGGGCCTCCCGCGGATGTCAAGACTGCGTGATACCCTCCTGATCGACGCTCCCTCTTCGCCGGTTACTCCCCATCCCCGCCACGCGGCAGCCAGCAGCAGGGCCGCCCCGGGGCGGCCCTGCTGCATCTCACTTGGCGTTCTTCACGTAGGTGTCGAACCAGTTCAGCATTTCCGAAACCAGCTGCTCATTCGATTCCAGCGCGGTGTACCAGTGCGGCTCGTTCGGCAGCATCACCAGGCGGGTGGTGCCGCCGTTGCCACGGATGGCCTGGTATAGCTTGCGCGACTGGAACGGTTCGGTACCGGGGTTGGCGTCGTCCTCGCCGTGCACCAGCAGCAGCGGCAGCTTGATCTTGTCGGCATAGAAGAACGGCGAGGCCTTCAGGTACACGTCCTGCGCCTGCCATACCGAGCGACGCTCGTTCTGGAAGCCGAACGGGGTGAAGGTCTTGTTGTACGAACCACTGGTGGCCACGCCCGCCTTGAAAAGATTGGTGTGCGCGATCAGGTTGGCGGTCATCAGGCCACCATGGCTGTGACCGGTCACGCCGATGCGGTTGCGGTCAACCACACCCATGTCCACTGCCTTGTCCACCGCCGCCTTGGCGTCGGCTTCCAGCTGCTCCAGGTAGGTGTCATAGGCGTTCTTCGGGTCGCCCACGATCGGGAACGAGGCATTGTCGATGATCGCGTAGCCGGCCAGCAGCATCAGGCGGTACGGCTGCAGGCGGGTGAAGGTCTGCTGCGAACCGGACACCTGCCCGGCCTGCGCGGCGTTGGCGAAGTCGGCCGGGTACGCGTACAGGATCGCCGGCACGCGCTGTCCTTCCTTGTAACCCGGCGGCGTGTACAGGGTGAACGACAGGTCCACGCCATCGGCACGCTTGTAGGTCACCAGCTGCTTCTTGATCTGGCGCACTTCCGGGGTCGGGTCGACCAGTCTGGTCAGCGCAGTGGCGCTGGAGGCGAACTGCGCCTCGCCGGCCTTCGCATCGGCCACCGCCTCACCCTGCTGGCGGATGAAGGCGTTCGGCGGATCGATCACCGACTGGTGCCAGGTCAGGTAGCGGCCCGGCGTGGCGCTGAAACCGAGGAACTGCTCGTAGGCATCCGCACTGCTGCGGAACAGGCGCTCGCTCTTCAGCGTACCCAGGTCCAGGCGGTCGAGGAACGGACGATCACCCTGCGGCGAAGCGCCACGGCCGCTGAGGAATACATGGTTGCCCTCACGACGCACGACCGGCGCGCCGTTCGGCAGGCGGGTGAAGACCAGGTTGCCGGGGTTGCCGTACAGCTCATCGCTGGACATGTCCCACAGCAGGCGCCCTTCCTTCTTCGGCTGGTCCACGTCGACGATGCGGGTCTGCATCCAGTGGCGGTTCTCGTCGTTCTCGTACTGGAAAGCCACGGCCGGATCGGCGGTCCACGCGAAGCCTTCGAAGCGCTGCGCAGTGCGGGTGATTTCGGTCGGCTTGCCGTTGAACGGGGCCTTCAGCATCAGCACGCGATCACGGTGCGGCACGTTGACCTTCCAGTCGCCCTTGTCCAGCGCTTCGGCATAGACCAGGGTGGCCGGATCGGTGGCGCGCCAGTCGAAACCGCGCGGGCCTTCCGGCACGCCGTGCACCGGCACACGATCGGCCAGCGGCAGGCTGGCAATCGCGGTGGTCTTGCCGCTGGCGATGTCCAGCACCGCCACGTCGTTGGCGAAGCGCTGGTAGGTCACCGCATGCGAATACGGGGCCTTGATCGACTCGGTCAGCACATGCACGCCATCGGGTGCGGCGCTGACCTCGTTGAACAGCGCCGGCTGCCCGACCGGGCGCACGCTGCCAGCCGCAGTATCGACCACCGCCAGCTGCGAGGCGCCGTAGTAGGCGAACAGCTTTTCGTCATGCACGCTGGTCAGCGTGTCGCGCGCTTCATAGGTGCTGCTCTCGCCGCTGCTTCCCAGCGACTCCTGCGCGTCCGGGCCGGTCGGCACGCCGCCATTGGACGGCGCCGGGCCCTGATTGGCCGGCACCAGCTTCACCAGCAGGTTCTGGCTGCCGCCCAGCCACTGCACGGTGTTGCCGAAGATCGGGTTCAGCTGCACGTTCGGCACCTGCTTCACCTGGCCGGTGGCGGCATCACCGACCCACAGCTGCACGCTGGTGTCGACCGCGTTCTGGAAGGCGAAGTGGCTGCCATCGGCCGACCACAGCGCGCCGGTGGCGCAGCCCTGCGGCAGGTTCACCTTGGTTTCCTTGCCGCTGCCGATATCGACCAGGGTGAAGTCGGCCACGCAGGCCGGAATGCCATAGCCGCCAGGGGTGTCATGGCGGCTGCGGTTCTTCGGCTCCAGGCGCACGCCGGCCAGCTTCAGATAGGGCTGGGCCACGCGGCTGATCGACGGATAGGTCTGCGCGGTGGTCAGCAGCAGGCGCTGTCCACCCGGCGCCACGTTCGGCGCCGGCGGCGGCGGTGCCTTCAGCACCTTGAGCAGGTGTTCCGGCGGCTTCGCGTAGTCGGCAAGCGCCGGGCCAGCGGCCAGCAGGCCGACGGTGGCAACGGCAACGGCCGCCGCCAGAGAGGTTCGACGGATCAGCATCCTTATCCCCTGGGGTGTGAATGGGCGCCCGAGGACGGGCAAGGGCCCGAATCTAGCACCGCAGGGGCTGTAGTGAATGGGCCGGAAGGACTAGTGGCCGGATGGGGCAAAGTGCAGCGCCGGGAGGTGCCGGGGAACTGCCGGCACCTGCCAGGCGTGGCCTGGCACTACTGCTGGGCGTGCAGGTCCCAGGTGGCCAGGTAGTCCGGGTCGACCACGATCATGCCGCTGTTGCGCATGCGGTACTCGCCCGGTTCGGCGGGCAGGTACTGGTCGAGCATCGGCGGCAGGTAGCGCTCGTGGCCATCGTTCTCGTCGGCCAGCACCACGCCTTCGTCGGCGCTGATGCGCAGCACCGTACCCGCGTACTGCTCCAGCCCCTGCACTTGGCCATCACCGCCATAGCGGGTGACACCGACCAGCACCAGCTTGCCGATCATTTCCTCGACCTTGGCATCATCCAGCGGCGGCAGCATGGGATTGAGTTCGTCGCTCATCGGTACACCTCCAAAGCCTGCAGGGACAGCGTGGACACAGTGGCCTTCCACGCAGGCGATGCCTCGGGCATCGCAATCGGCAACGTGGAAACGGCAGGTGTATGGATCGCCGGAAACGGCAGCGGCGTGCCGGATCAGCGGTGTGTGAAGCGTGGCAGGTGTTGCGGGTGACGGCCATCCATGCCGGCATGTCTGGCCCTGTCAGACCAGGGTCAACACCACGCGTTGCAGTACATGCAGAGTGAAGCGTGACAGCTGCGCAGTAGCGGCATGACGGCCTCCTGTTGAAGGTCACACGCGGGCGTGATGCTCCGTTGGATCGAATGCTGCCATCGTGCACGGAAGGAAGAAGTGAAGACTGCGCGCGATCCTTGCCAGCGCACCGTGCCAGGCATCCAGTGCGTCGGAGCCTGACATTACCTGCCCCGGCGGCCAACGCTGTTGCCACAATGCGTGCCTGCTTCCCTCCACGCATTCACGCTGCCCCCAGGCCGGGTACGGCCCCACCGGCGCCACGCTAGAATGCGCCCATGCGCACCGTACATGCCCTCCGCTACATCACCCCTTTACGGGAAGGTGGCTCCCTGCCGGCCGTGGTCGAGACCGACGACGACGGCATGGCCGTGCTGAAATTCCGTGGCGCTGGCCAGGGACCGAAGGCGCTGATCGCCGAGCTGATTGCCGGCGAGATGGCGCGCACGCTGGGCCTGCCGATTCCAGAGATCCTGTTCGTGGAACTGGACCGCGAATTCGCCCGCACCGAGCCGGACCCGGAAATTCAGGAGTTGATCCGTGCCAGCGAGGGCCTGAACCTGGGCCTGGACTACCTGCCCGGCGCGATCAACTACGACCCGGCCGCGATGCCGGTGGACGCCGACCTGGCCTCGCGCATTGTCTGGTTCGATGCGTTCACCAGCAATGTCGATCGCACCACGCGCAATCCCAACCTGATGGTGTGGCATCGAAAGCTGTACCTGATCGACCACGGTGCGGCGATGTACTTCCATCACGACTGGGCCAATGCCGGCGACGCCTGCGAGAAGCCCTTCGTACTGATCCGCGACCACGTGCTGCTGTCGTTCGCCAGCCGCATCGCCGAGGTGGATGCCGAACTGGCCGCCCGCCTGACCGATGCCGAGATCGAGCGCATCGTCGGCCTGGTGCCGGACAGCTGGCTGGTCAACGAGCCGGCGTTCGACAGTCCTCAGGCCTATCGCCAGGGCTACATCGACTATCTCAAGCACCGCCTGAAAGTGCGTGCGGTGTTCGTGCAGGAGGCCATCCGTGCCCACGCTGCACACGTATGACTATGCGGTCATCCGCGTGGTGCCGCGGGTGGAACGCGAAGAGTTCATCAACGTCGGAGTGATCGTGTCCTGCCCCGGCGCGCGTCATCTGGAAGCGGCCATCGAGATCGATCCGGCACGCCTGCACGCGTTTGCGCCGGCGCTTGACCAGGAGGCATTGCAGCCGTGGCTGGATGCGATCGTGGCGATCTGCCGCGGCGACGCCAGCGCCGGGCCGATCGCGCAGCTGCCGGCACGCGCGCGCTTCCATTTCCTCACCGCCAAGCGCAGCTCGATCGTGCAGATGTCGAGCACGCACGTGGGTCGCACGGCGGACCCGGCCGGTGTGGTCGAACACCTGATGACGAAGATGGTGCGGGCACCGCGCTGATGCGGCCGTCTCTCACTTCTTCGCGCGCACCCTCTGCCAGGCAATGAGCGCACAGGCTGCTGCTGCAGCAATCAACATCCACCCGGCTACCGCCTGTCCATGCAGGTAGCCTTGTGCATACGCAGCGCTGGCACCTTCGTTGGCCATCACCGCGACACCCTTGAGTATCACCTGCATTCCGCGCAGCAGGAGCACCATGCTGGCGACCAGACATACCACGGGAAGGAATCGGCTCATGAACCGATTCTGGTCCGCCACCCGCCCCAGCGTCAACATCGCTGCAGCACAGTCGCTCGGGCCTACAGCGGCACTCTTCGCGCGATGTAGTTGACCACGTTGCCGATCGCATCCGGATCGACATTGGCCAGGCCAACGATCACACAGCCCTGCGCGGGCAGCACCACGATGGCACTGTTCGATCCGGGCGCACCGCCTTCGTGGCCGTACTGGTGTTCCCTGCCCTCGCCCTGCACCACGAAGCCGAATCCGTACCAGCCCTTGTGATTCTGCGCCGTGGTGGCCTGTTGCAGCAATACAGGTGAGACCAGCTTTCCACTACGCAATGCCTCGGCAAACGCCACCATGTCGCTCACCGTGCTGTAGCCACCACCGGCTGACATGCCACGCCAGGGCAGCGACTTCGTTTCACGGAGCCATTGCCCATCCTTCTTCGTGTAGGCGACGGCACGCTGCGGAACGCTCACTGTTTCCGGCTCGAAGCCGGTGCCGGTCATACCGGCCGGGCGCAGGATGTGGTCCTGAACATAGACGTAGTACGACTGCCCTGAAACCGCTTCGATGATGCGCCCCAGTACGATGAAGCCATAGTTCGAGTAGCTGTCCTGGCTGCCAGGCGCGAACTGCGGCGCATCCTTGGCAAAGCGCTGCACGTAGTCATCCAGCGTCCTCAGCGACGCAGAATACTGTTCGAAATCATCGCCGAAGAAATCACCCAGGCCACTGGTATGTGAGAGCAGATGACGTACGGTCACGTTGTTGGCGACGGCCTTGTTCGGATAGTCCGGCAGGTGCTTTCCGATCGTGTCATCGAGACTGAGCTTGCCATCCTGCACCAGCTGCAGGATGGCCACTGCGGTGAACATCTTGTTGGAGGATGCAAGGCGGAACTGCGTATCCACGCCCACTGGGATGCCAGCGGTGCGATCAGAATCGCCACCGCGCCAGTCCAGCAGCACCTTGCCGTTCTGTACCACCTGCAACGCCCCCGACAGCGCGTCCCGCGCCCGCAGCGCCTCGAGTTTTGCCGCGGCATCGGCCATCAGGACAGGCAAAGCCACCCGAGCTGGCTTGTACTTGTCCGGCGTTTCAGCGCCCTCAATCTGGAACTGCTTCACGTGCGCAGGATTGGCCGGATCCATGACGGCCGTCACCCGCATCGCACGCTCGTTCACCTGGCCCATCACCAACAGCTTCGCCTGGCTGGACGTGCTCTCGAGTGTTTCCAGAACGCTCAGCGGGCCTGTGCTCTCGCGAAAGTCGAGATAGTCCTTGGGAGTGCTGCCCTCCTGCTTCGCATATCTGTCGGCGAATGCCTGCAGCCCCTCGAGGCTGCCCGCATTGAAGGCCGCAAGCCAGTCATCGATGGCATTCTGCGCACGTGGATGCGCATGCTCGAAAGAACTTGCGCCAACTACCGGAGAAGCCGAGGCGGTCACCAGGACCACGCAGGCCAGCGCATTGCAGAGAAACAGGCGTCCAAAAGCCCTCATTACAGTTCCTTTGCGGGTGTCCCTGGACGCATCCTAGATGATGGATCGGCCCGCCGCATCCACGCCTGGGACTCTGCGGCAACACATCAACGGTAACGTTGAATGCTTCGATGCGCTGCCATCCACTGCGCGCGTTGGCTGGAAAGCGCACAACACGTTGCGGTCCTGAAGCGGCGTGAGGGCATGATCCTTCACAGTAGACAGGAACAATGCTGACCGATGGCCGCGCTACCGCCGCGCCATGCTCTGCTCGCTGAACCGCGCCACGCAGAAATCCACTAAGCTGCGCAGCTTGGGCGTCACCTGGCGGTCGCGCGGGTACAGCAGATGGATCCAGGTCGACACCGGCTCGAACGTCGGCAGCACTTCCACCAGATCACCGCGTGCGAGCGTCGCCGAGAGCATTTCGTAGGGCTGCAGGATCAGTCCCAGCCCACCGACGGCCGCAGTCAGCAGTGGCTCGGCCTGATTGACCATGAAGCGGCTGGACACCGGCACGGTCAGCACGCTGCCCTCGGCATCGCGGAAGCTCCAGCGGGTGCGGATGATTGAATGCGCGAAGCCCAGGCACTCGTGACGGCTCAGGTCATTGGGATGGGTAATGGCCGGGCGCGAAGCCAGATAGTCCGGCGAGGCACACAGGACCAGCGGATACGGCCCGAGCCGTCGCGCCACCAGCCCGCTGTCGGCCAGGTCGCCGGTACGGAATACCAGGTCGTAACCGTCTTCGACGATGTTGACCAGGCTGTTGGACAGGTTCAGATCGACCTGAACGTCCGGATACGCCTGCATGTAGGCCACCAGCGCCGGGCCCAGCGCATGCACGCCGAAGGTCACCGGTGCGCTGATGCGCAGGCGCCCCATCGGCCGTCCGCGTGCCACCTCTGCCAGCTGCTCGGCGCCCTCCACTTCTTCCAGGATCACCCGCGCCCGCGCCAGGTAGGCCTGGCCGAAGTCGGTCAGGCTCTGCTTGCGCGTGGTGCGGTTGAGCAGGCGCACGCCCAGATGCTGCTCCAGCGCCTGGACGTGCTTGCCGACCACCTGTGGGGACAGGTCCAGCACCTCGGCAGCGGCGGCGAACGAGCCGACCTCGGCCACTTTTGCGAAGGTTCGCAGGGGAGCAATCAAGTCCATTGCAAACATTCCGTTTTCAATGAAACACGAGATTACCCCTTATTCTGGGTACAGACTACGCGCACAGTAGCCCTCACCCTTTCGCCGGCGCCCTCGAGTACTCTGCGTTGATACCACTGCTT